GCCGAGGAAGGGGCCGAGGCGCCGCCGGCCGGGCTGCTCAAGCTGCTGATCTCTCCTCCCAGAAGAGAAAGAAGGAAATGCCTTCCAAACCAGAGAAAAGGCCGAAGGGAGAGCCCAGGCCTTCAAAGGTGACAGCAAAGCCTCCGGGGCACGACAGTGAAGAGGAGGGCATGTTCCAGGTAGGGGCAGGGGCAGCGCTAGGCACACGCCTTCCTCCTCCTCCTCCTCCTCCTCTCTGTGGAGGCCTCCCCTGCCCCTCCGTGGGGTACTGCTGCAGCTGAGCTGCCTTTCTCCAGTGCATCCCACCTGCAGCACCTCCTCTCCTGTCCCTCTGTGCTTTGAGAGGCCCGGGCAGGCCTGTGGGGCAGCTTGTTGCTGCTGCTCTGGTTTAGCTCTGGCTCTGTCTTTGCAGATCGGGAAGATGCGCTATGTCAGAGTGTCCTGCTTCAAGGGGAAGGTCCTTGTGGACATCAGGGAGTTCTACGTGGATAAGGATGGAGGCACCAAACCAGGGAGGAAAGGTAGAGCAGCAAATTCACAAGGCAGCAGTTGCAGGCTGTGCCTGGCTCACTCCTGGGCTGCTGGCTCTGCTGGCTGGGAATGTCTGCCTTAAGGTCAGGACTGACTTGTGTGTGGAGCAGGACCTGTGTACCCCATGCTGAGGGACACAGTTCAGCACTTTCTCACTGTGGGTGCCAACAGCTGAAGAAAAGCACAACAAATAAGCAGGTGTGAGCTTCTGGTGAGCATGGCAGGGCCATGACCACTCTAGGAAGTGGAGCTGGAAGCTGCTGTACAGGACTCTGGCTTCATCTCTGATCAGCAACCCTTTTGTTGACTGTTGGTGGGGCAGAGCTGCAAAGTGGAGAAAGAGGAAGTAGTAAGCAGTAGCTCTAACACTGCTACCTTGTGCCTCACTACTGACTGACAAACTTGCCCTGGTGTGGGTGTTGCTCAGGGCTCTAATGCGGCATGATGTGTGTTTGCCCCTAATCTGTAATGGTGGAGCTGTGCTTGCCTGGGAGAGGCTCCCAGAGGTAAACTCATTCTTCCCAGTCTGGGTGGGGACAGGAAGGTTAAGAGCCTTCAGGGTCTGAAACTAATGCGCTGCGTTAGGCATGTGCCTTGCTCCCCTGGCAGGTGCCTGATGCTGCAATATAGTGGTACAGCTTGGGTGGCCCATTGCGGCAGCATTACCTAAGCTGGTGATGCTGGAGAAGGCAGCTGGGGAAAGAGAGACAGTTGCTGAGTCAACATTCAGCTTAGGGCCATATGCTCTGGCACTTGACAGTAACTTTTGAGGTTCACAGGCCCTGAACTTTTCTCCTGCCTTGTGTGTTGCAGTGCTCAGCAGAGATTCAGTTAATGTGGGATTTCTTGGGGAACCTTTCAGTCCTTGCTATTGATTTTGTGTCAGGGTAGATGAATTTCTCTCAGCTTGGTTTGCTTCATAACCGCTAAGCATGGTTTACCTTCCAGAAATTAACTTCCTTCGGAGAAGTTACAACTACAAACTACTCCCTTAAAGGGAACCACTTACCCTGTAATGAAAGTTGGAAGCAAAGCCCTGAAGCCTTCCTGTACCATTGGGGGCAGGAGTGTGGTGGACTCCTTCCAGGCTGTGAAAAACACATCCACAATGCAAGACAGAAGATCTGTTAGTTAAAACAGGGATCATGAAGAAAAGTTCTCATCTAAATACTGCCTCTGCTGTTTTGCTGCAGATTTCTTGGCCCTTGATGTTTATCTAGAGAATCTAATAAAGCTTGGGCCTTGGTTTTTGTAGTGTGTTTCTTAACAAAGCCAAAAGGAAGGAATAAGATGATAATGTTAGGCTGGAACCTGCACAGCAATTTCACTGCCATGCTTGTTTTGTATGGGAGAGAGGCCAGTGACATCAAGACCTTATCTCTACTATCTCTACTACAGCTAAAAAGAAGCCAGTTCTTCTCTAGTTTTTAAGCTATGCTAGTGACCTCTATTAGCAGCAGGTTTTGTAAGTAGAGCTAGAGTTGGTATTACTTTCTTTGGGCAGCTGAAAGGATATAAAGGGCTGTGGGACTCTTGAAAGGCAAGTCAGGCTTATTCTTGTGTGGTGCTTCTGTGATGCCTTTTGACGTGGATGCTGAGGTGCTGACACAGAACTGCCCTGCTCAAAAGGCTGCCTCTGTTTCTGGCCTCGGGCTCTGCCTCGGATTCCAACTTTCCCTTCTATAGCCAGCCTGAAGGAACTGCTTACTCTCTGCCTGCTCTGAAACCTCTCCTTCTGCTATTTCTAGGGATTGCCCTGTCTGCAGAACAGTGGAACCAGCTGAAGGAGATCATTCCTGAGATCGATGCTGCAGTCAAGAAATTCTAAGATGAAGGATCTCTGTTACCTTGTACCGTACTGTTTCCTTTCCCCTTAAGTGCACTGCGAAGCATAAAGCCAAAGACTCCCATCTGGAGCCTTACCCTCACCTTGCTGAGGTTTCCTCACTGAGGTGGTAGTTGTGCTGAAAAGGCCAGAGACTGCTTTCTTTTCAAGTAACAGCTTGTAATGAGCAAGTGGAACTTAGAGTCAGTGGTGTAAAGAGACTTCAAGATCTCTGGCCTCTTTCTACGCTTGAGGTCTGCTCTAGTGAGGGCACTAAGCAGTCTAATGCATGGGAGAGCCTGACTCCAACCTTCCAGGTGTGGATGGCTGTCAGTCTACACTGTGGAGTGCTCTAGCAGCTCTGTGTCTGCTGCTGTCTTCCACTTGGTTGACTGTTGACTAAGATGTTTAGTATACTTCATGCTGGCATCTGCTGCCTCTGTGTTCCCTCCACATGCCATTCTGGCTATTTCAAGTACTTTTTTGTGTTGGTGGGCCTCTTTTTTTTTCTTTTTGTGTAAAGAAAGGGGATTATTATACTTTAGCAGCTGGTTTGTAGAAGGTGAATATGCACAATAAATGTGTTTGCATTACAAAAAGGAGATGCATAGTGTCTCCAGGCTAGCAACTCTACTCCTTGTTTCAGGCTCTTTGTAGGCTGGTGTCAGATTTCCCTTTAAGAAGGAGGATGTTCTGTAGTGTTTATTCCCTTATGATATATTCCCAATGATCTTGCTATACAGAAATGATGTCAGACAGCAGCCTACTCCAGGCCATGGGAAGGGCAAGCTAGAATGTGAATCATTCAAAGGAATCAGTAATTAGGAGGCTTGTTAAATAGAGGGGAATTTAAAAGCCTAAGTAGAAAAGAAAATATTCCTTGCCCTGTAGTAGAATAAAATGACAAGCTATGGAAGGAGTGGTGAGAAGATATTTCATGTTTGAGATCTAAATGGATCGAATTTTGGGATCAGCTGCAGCAAGCACAGCTTTCCTCAGCAAGGCTCTCCCAGGCTTTGCAACAGCTTGCATCTTCCATCTATTTTAGGTTCTTCTCTTGCCCTGGTTTCCATAGTATCTGATTGTTTCCTGCTCTTAAATATATTCATCTGACACTTGCGACATCTTGGTGAAGTAGGAGGTACTAAGGCCCTTGCTCTGTGGAGGTGCAGAGACTGTAACAGCTCAGGATTGTGTGGAAGATGTGGGGTGGAGAATCTAAGGTTTCCTAAATGCTAAATTTAACTGATGGATTAGCCTTTTGCTAAGCATAGCAAGAGGAAAAATAAATAAATCCTTCCTTATAAAACAGCCCTTCAAAAATTTAGTTAGGAGACAGTGTGCTCTAGCTGCTTGGGGTAGATGGGGAGATGGGTGGGATACTGAGGCATTTCCTTCTCATGCTGCATTCCACTAGTCCCTGGCAACATGAAGCATTTTGTTGGCTCTAGATGGTGAAAACGAGCATGGGGACACTAGACTTTGTCCCGAAGACAGGTTGCTCATGCTGTAAGCTTATTCCTGTGGAGTATTCTTGACACAATGCCCTAACACACTGTTCAGAGGCTGAAGGTAATGGGAAGATAAGGGAGAAGGGGGAGTGGGGGGGGGGGGGGGGGGGGGTAAGCTGTTCCAGAGGCATAGAACAATGCCTCTGAGAAAAGTACCTGAGAGATGGAGTCCTGAGGCAATGGTGAGCATGTGAGAAGCTACTGAACTGAGGAATGATAAGGGACTCAAGGCAATTGGTTTTCTAGATCCTGCTGTCCTCAGGTGTTTAAAGTTCTGCTCTGCTTTATTAGATGCTCTGCGAAGAGGTGAGACTGTCCCTCACCTCATGGCATCCTACAGCACAGGGTATATGACTGTGGCAGCTCTGACTGCCATTGATCTAAGCTGCCACAGTCAAGCCTTGGTGGAAGCTCTCTCAAAGGTGTGAATGTGTTAGCAAGACTGCTCTTACTGCAGTAAAACCCAATTCCTGCTTCCACAGCAGAGGTGTTTTGTTGGCTGGGTAAAGCTAGTCCTGCACTGCGGAAGCACGTGGTGCAGGTGTGAACCAAAGATGCAGAAGCTGGGGATGCTCTCTCCTTTCTTTCTGTCCATGTCTTGGGCTATTCCAAAGGCTGCCAGCATTTGTAGTGCTGCTGTAGCCCTCCACCACTGATGTCTAGTCAAGGAAGCCTGTACAGGTAAAGGCAGGCTGGAGGGCAGGGGGTTGCTTAATGCAAGATTCAGCCTTGCTTAGAGAAGGGAGAGGGCAACTGCTGTGGCTCTTTGTTGCTATCATGCACCTGCTGTCAGAGGTCAGTTTTGGTGAGGTTTGGCAGCAATTGCCGATGCTGTGGTAGCACCCATCAAGAGAATTGCCGCTGGGGTAGCAAAAGCAACCCCAGAAATGATGAGCTGGTTGTCTCCCAAGGTCTCTCCCAAGGGACTTCACTCTAAAGGATGTGACCAAAACTACCGCCTCCATGCACAGTGACTGCTCCAGGAGCATTACTGAGGGGGGCAGAAACACACAAAATCAGCAGAGCTTAACGTCCTGATTTAAAAACAGGTCCAAACTGAACTTGATCAGCTTGATAGATAGTACATGGCTCTGGAGCTGGAGAGTGGCTTTTGTTTAATTGAGAGGGGGCCCTGGGTAGTTAAGCAGCCAGAAAACAGCAGTTCTTTCAAGAACTTGAAGAAGCAGTGTGCAAGCAGCCCCAACTTTTTTTAACAGGCAATGAGACTTTTTCATTTTTAAATCCTTCAAAGAACAGCTGCTCTTGATCAGAAGATATCTGGAGTCTTTCTTCATTTCCAAACTGCCCACTGTTACAGACAACATCTGGTCATAAAAATCACAAGCCTTAAAACTTCATTAATTTATGGATTGTTGCAAAATTAAAATATTGAAAAGCTGATTTAAAGTTTTCATTTATTGGGATAACAGATAACCAGCAAAAGGTAAACAGCAAGTACTTGGTAAGAGAGGGTGAAAGCTTCTAGCAGAAAGCCAAGTGCCCTTTCATAGAGAGGGCAGGGTGTCTTTCTCTTAAGCTGTCAATCTGGCTGTTCTGGAGCGATTTCCTCTGCCAAACCCTCTTCTCGGAGCAGAAACAGTCACGTTACAGGAAGGAACTGGTACCTTCTTCAGACCCTATGCTGCTGCTTGGAGGTTTTTCTGCCAGGACTGCCTCAGCTTGTCCTTTAGCTCTCCTGTCTGGGGAGCAGACAGATCAGGGGAGGCAGATTGTTCTGAAAGATTCCTCAAAGATCCAGTGTCTTTTGGGATTTTTGTTTTTTTTCCTTCCCCTGATTTGTGTTTCCTAGATGACATGAAAATTCAAAGCTCCAGCTTGCATTCTTTCCCTTCCTCAATGCCTTCAGCAGCTGGGGGGAAGGACAGTTGCTCCTTCTCCTGCAGAGTGCATCCTTGCAGTTCCTGTACCTTGTTCTTGAGCCCTTCCCAAATTTGGGCTGCAGGACTGGCTCTTTTCACCTTTTGGCTTAAGCTGCTCCTGCTAAATCCAGCCACTCCTATGTTTTCCTGGCTTCAAGCAGGCATAGAGGTGCTTTTTTTAAAAAAAACAAAAAAGAAAACCTGTTTTTTCATTTGTTAATGGCTCTCTGTAGTAGTAAAACTTTGTGGGGTTTTCTGTTTTGTTTTGAACAGCTCCTTTTGGGGCAGCTTCTCAGGTTTGGGCAGAATCTGTTCCATCATCCTCTGGGAATCACGGATCAGAGTTTTGTTGCGTCTAGCCAGCTCTCCCCTGCAGCCTCCTCTGGCAGATGGGACGTGCTTCCTCTTCATTTGCAGAAGTGACCTGCTGCCTGTCCTGGAAATCAGCTGTACCTTCTCTCCTTTGTTACACACTTTTTCATTTCCCCCTTTTTCCCCCACTTTCTCCCTCTTTCTCTCTGAAGCTCTATCTTGGTGCTATGACTGTATTTTTATCTACCCCTTAATCCTGTTGCTGTAGTACGTAATTCTGTATCTGGCTCTACAAACTCTTTCCAGGCACTGATTGACAGCTGCTGTATCTTTCATTTACCAGCAGTATTTTCCTGGCTCTTTTTTTTCTTCTGCAGTCAGGGATGATTGTAACATGTCCATCCATGGACTCTAAAAGACACTGGATATAGTCTTCCCTCTGGATAGACGTTTTCTTTCCACCTGAGGTGCTGGATCCCTTGGGTTGGACAGAAATCCAGAGCTGCGAAACCCTGTGCTGCAGCAGCTGATGTGAAAAAGCAGGCTGGGCATGTAAAGGTGTTTGAAGACATGACTTGCTTAGCCATGATTCATCCAAGGTAAGGTTTGCTGCTGTGGTGATAAAGGTCCCTTGTTTTTAAGGTTGCCTCATCTGTTGGCAGCTGCTAAAAATCAGAACAGCTTGACCTGCCACAGACTTAGCTGATGCATCTGTGGCCTCTGAATAGCTGGCAGAGGCTGGCAGCCTCCACGAGAAATGTGGAGAGAGAGCGTGACCGCTGTGGGGAGCTTTATTTTTGAGGGTGGATTTTAGGAGTGGTTCTGCCCAGCACCGTTCTACAGCGAGTGTCCTGCAAGGCTGTGCTGTGGCCCCTAGCTTCAGGCTGGGCTGCAGCAAGCTGGCAGCTTTTGTGAGCCCACTTGAGTAGAAAGCCTGGGTGCAAAGTCCAGCTGGGTCTCTTGCACCTGCTGGCCCTAGTGAGCAGTCTGGATGCTCCGCATGCAGCCAGGGCCGGGGAAGGATGTGCACCAATGTGAGATCAGACATGACGCACTGTGAGAGCGTTTGGGCCAGTGCTCTGGGAGGGAAGATGTGGGTCTGCGCGAGTGGTGGGATGCTGTGGGGAGAGGCAGGAACAGGGATGGGGCAGGGAGAGCGGGCAGGAGGGGTGTCCACTTGCTGTGTTTGGGAGCAGGGAGCTGATGGTGTACTGGGTGTGTGCGTCACCTCCACTCGCTGCCTCCATCTATCTGCAGGATCCAGGGCAAGAGTCCTGGGAGAAGGCAGAAAACTCCTAGCAGAAACACAGAGCTTGGGGGGAAAAAAAAAGAACGGGGACATGACACGTGGAGCTGCACTCTTCTGCAATGCCCTGGGCCTGGGGCCCTCAGCAGAGCTGAGCACCCAACCTCTGCAGCACCCCTCCTGGCACGAGGGCATGGGCACCCGCTTGTCTGCAGGGCCACTGGGGAAGGGTAAGAGGCTAGGACATGGCTGTGGGATGGTGGCGGAGGGGGTCGGGCTGTGTCCCGGCAGTGCCCGAGCGGGGCTTGCTTGCTGGCTGTGAGCGTGCTGAGCTGTAGAGCATCGCCTGAAACGCAGCAGAGGTGGGAGCCAGGAAACATGTCTGCCTGGGCTGGCTGCCACCGGGGCTGGGGCCC